AAAGCAGCTGGTTATACTGATGTTAGAAGAGAAGTGGAAAAAGTGGAAAGAAGTACACTGTGAGCTATATTATCGTGGTTTTGCAGAATTGCTTTGAGAAAGTAATTCAAGTAATTGTGTGTTTTCTAATTTCCCCAAGATCACCGCTACAAAGTAGTTTCCTGTTAAGTACAGCTTAAGAATTTATGTTGAAATTAAATACAGCTCACTTTTATTTAAAAGCATGCAAATAGAACTTGCACAAATCATTTACATGAGAAATCCTTTCTTATGCCACTTACTCCTTGAAAGCTCAAACTCTTATTCTGCAGAAGAGCTGAATGGTTAAAATAATATCATTAAGATAATGACCAACTGATCTAAGAACTGCGGTACAGAATCTTTAAAAAGACATTCATGTTTTTTCAGAGCACTCACTCATGTTTGATCACAAACACCTCAAAATGGAGTCATGTTGTGAGGTTGAATGGACTAATGAACACAGAGTTACATACCGCTTCAGTGGTCACAAAGGTAACAACTGATTGTAAGATGCTCTGCCTCTACTGAGATCAGGCTGATAAACAGCGAGAGCCTGCAGAGCCAAAGGGTGGGAAAAATATCCAGGAAACTCCATCTTGAAGGTTAACTTCTAGGCTCAGAGCAGGAACATTTGTTCCTTTCTGTGCTCATAGACGCCAACCCCAGTGAGTTGGGGTTTTACTGCTCTACTACAGAAGATTTGCTATTAGCTTTTAAAAGCCAGCCCTGCACATGCTTACACCAAAAGACAGTCTTCCACCACTTTGTTTGGTTTCAAAACTTAAGCTCTCCTGTAGCTGACAACAGATGAGCTTAAAAGTTACGCTCAAGCCAATGGGACTGTTTCTGTTCTTAAGTTAAGAACACACTCAAGAAATTTCAGGGGTAAAGAACTTAAATCACATTAATTTCCTGGTACTTATTAGCATCAGAAAACTGTATCCATCTTCTGTTCAGTTGTGAAAAGAAAAATTCTCAAAGTAGGTGTCAAAACAACAACAGGACTTTTCAAAATTCCTAAAAGTAAAAGCTATTTTTTCAGATAAAATAATTATACCATCAGAGTAGGGAATTATAACACAACTTTAAGTTTTCAGAGAGAACGAAAAAATAAACTTCATCAAACAAAATAGTATGCTTTAACATACCATACTGAGCACATTCTTTTTCTACCTGGGAACCAGCAGCATCCATAATTGCTTTGAAGACCCCTTAAATTATACAAGAAAATCATATACATTCATTAAGTCTTCATTAGATATTTCTACGCAAAACTCTATTCAACTTCTGTACTCTACAAATACCCCAAATTCTCATACGGCAAGATCCCACAAAGTGCAAAATCTTATCAGTTCCCCTAAGCACCCTCCATGACACACTGCAACGGCTGCAAAGAAAACACCGCCTTCATTATCGATTAGAAATCATTAAGAATAACTCCTATTTCATCGTTTCACCAGCCAATAGTACGCCCCTCAAACTCTCTGATTGCTTTGCATTATATCATTTGATGTCTTTCATAATTGCAATTCACAATATCTCTAAAGAATCCTCTGTTTCTTACAGGTCAATTTACTTAACCAGGACTTTGTCCTAGTATGTTTCACTGTAAACCAAGAGCAGTTTTTCAGAACTGTATGTGAGCTAAAAAGCTCCCTCTTATTCAAGCATTTCTGGTTTTAAACAAGAAAAATCTGGTCAGATGCCTTCTGTTTGAGTAGTCTGGAAACTAAATGGAATATTCAGGACACATAAAAAACCTGCTTAAAATCTATTTCCTGACTAATCACAACTTTCTCTCTCTCATCTGAAAAATACTTCATAAAAGTTTCACATATGGACAATTCCTTCCCCTACCCCCTTCGAAAAACTAGCCCAAACTTGTCACTAAACAACTACATATTCAATACAATACCTGTTGTGGCATCAAATGTCGAGTTTGTTAAGTTTACAATAACCTCTGTATCCTCCTTGGTAATATCTCCACTAATTACTTGCAGTGTAATGGAACCAATCTGCATTTCATGAACTCCCAGCGCTTCAGTTGAAACAGGCCTAATGAAACCTGCAAGGGGAAGAAAAACACCTTTAAACACTTCTCCTCTAGTTTGGGGTATTATTCTGTTCCACTGATGGAAACTTCAACTTATCCTTCTAAGGAATATGCTCTAGATCAGTTTGATGGACCTAGAGAGTCTCTGCCTTTCTCTTTACTCCATTTCTGAAAGCAGGAACATGCAGTATTCTTCCCATTTAAATCCTGTGAAAGTGAAACCATTTCTACTCCTGTAAATTCACACAATATAAATGCAGAAAGGACTCTTGGGCTTATCTGATCGGACTACCTCCATTTCAGAGTTTCCTGAATTAACTCTTCCAAGAAATGGAGTATCTAGCTTAAGCCAGTAATGGAGATCCCATCACACAACTTTTGTAAGTTATTTCATTTTTACCCTCACAGATATAACGCTGTTTCTTACTTCTAAACTTACCTAATTCATATTTTATCTGAACACTTTCAACTTCATCTCACTGATACTCACAGCAACTGAGAAGAAGGAGTTATACACTCTTATGAATAAGCCTCTGCTGTTCATGCAGTTCACTCGGTTTTGCTACTGTGTCACACTACAGTCAATTAATAAATGGAAAGGAAATTATCCACTCTGTATATCTCTATACAGGAGATTAAAGGTTCAGAAATACATGTTATTTTGGCTTGTTTGGCAAAGTGATACCAAGTTCTTATAATCTCTGGGCAGGACAAACTGATGATTCTCCTACCAGGGTATACTCTTTCATGTGATAAGACCCACCTCTTTAAGGTTTTTACAAACGGAGTTTAAAAACGCCAGTCTATTAGGAGTAAAAAAAATGCTGCATGTCTTGATGACATTTCATCTGTTTGCTGAGACGTATAAAACCACTTTACAGCATTTACATTCTCCCTGGTGTCCCACCCCCTTCCCCACACAACTTACTTGACCACGGTGCTGCAGCATTGCAACTTTCAGCTACCCTACGTTCTAGTTCAGTGGTAAAAGCCTAAGAAGAGAAAAAAGGTACCAAAGATAGTATTTCAGAGTTTATACACAGAATATTTCTACAATTAACATCAGCAGTCACGTAGCTCTTGCTGAGCCATCTGTCGCATTTTACAGTTGTGTTTAGGTATCATTAACAACAGTGGAAGCCTCAGTGTGGACAGTGTGATAATAGATACTGCCTTTGCGTTGCCAGAGCTCCTCTGTCAAAAGAGGAGTGAGCATCTACAGGTGTTCGCAGTACCAGCAGTGAGGCCAATTTTGTCTGAAGCTTGTGCTTGCTGAGAGTTTATATTTCAGAGACACTGAATGATACACTGGAGAGAGATCCCACTGTCACTGGCCCACAGCAGTAAGAAAGTGCTAAATTATTCCCTTAAGAAAGCAATATAACTAAAATACATTGTTAAGGCATAACTAGAATAGTATGTAACACAGGCAGCTTTGTCCTGAGAAGAACTACCTGAATATTATCCAGATCTTTTGGACTCAAGAAAAAAACAACTTCCTGGAGAGTCTTCCGAGCATGACTACTACTGAACTTGAATACCACATCAAACATTAACTCAGAAACAAGGGTTTTAGGAAATCCAAAGCCTCCAGTTCCAATAGCTGGGAAAGCAATTGAATTCAGTCCGAGTTCTTCAGTTTTCTTCAAGCAGGAATTGATTATATCTTCTAGGATCTGTAAAACAGAAAAAAGATCCCTTTTTTTTAAAAAAAAAAAAAAAAAAAAAG